CAGTTCAATTACACATTCATTACATTGTTGCCGTCACGTCTTGACCGTCTTATACATAAAAGAATACCGAAGTCTAGTAACCTTCCGAGGATTCACGAAGCTTCGAGAATATGTCGTGTTACTAGCGTCACGTGACCTCTGCTGTCGTAACAATATTAATGAAACCCTCCTCCAGACTGGTAACAACTCAGAAACCTCCCCATAGAACATTATTAAAATATACAAACAATACATATGACTGTTGGATATACAGGACTATTCAGTTTGAGAGTTGTTATTTGGTTTATTTAGTGATTTAATGTTTAACGACAGTTTGGTTTTAATAGTAGGAGTGTTGAGAGTTGATTGCTTTAAAAGTGATAGTACGAGTCGTATGTTGTGTATGTAGTTTAATTGCTGTACTACAGTTTTGTAATATTGTTGATGTCACCTTACTGGAAACTTCTAAGTTTTTCTTGTTATGTGTAATATTGTTACTACTAGAGGGCTAGATATTTCTGTCGTGTGTTATACATACGTGCAGATACAAAGAAAGTTGGTGAAAAGAAAGTAGGTTAGTGAAAGTAAAAGTTACGCTGCGTGACTGTCAGTTTAGCCATAACAGGCGATTTTTAAAGTGAAAGTTTCACAGTTTGTATTGTAACAATAGAGATAGAGAAAAATAATTCGTCATGTCAATTGGGTCCTAAAGTGATTGAACCAGTCTGTTCGGTCATTTGATATAAAATAGTAACTTTGTGATAGTTAGTCTGGTGGAGGATCAAAAATAATTCAAGATTCGTGAAAGACAACAATTTCTAACCTCAAGCCGCTCTAATACAATACAATATGCTCTAAGCTTTTTATATACTTATGCGTGTTTACAATTAAATGTTTAGAATATAGTTTTACCGGGTGATGAAGACCCCGGAGGAACCTAAATCAAGAATATAAGCCCATCCAGGGTTTATACAACACTGGAGGAGTTTGATCAAAATTGTATACTTCCAACAAAAAAAGGACATTTTTTGAAACTGCGAACACAAAGGATCTATAGCTCATGGTGGAAGATGCACAAAAAACAATGCCAACTAACATTCTAGTGCTGACTTCCCCTAAAATTGATGCATCTTCAAACAATGTTGTAACGAAAACCATTTTGAAGTAACAACACTGAGTCATCCCTACATTTTCATGAACTGAAGCTGTTCTGACAGTGAAAAAACACAAAAACGTGATGGAATTACCCATTGAAGGATGCATCAACAGATGACAATAATGCAAAAAAAAAGTGAGCCACTAAAAACAGAACCACTATATTCCAAAATTGTAAAAGATTGTCTTAGATCTTTACAATACTAAAACCAATGATTAACTTTCCATATACGATTCGTTGAATTTGACCAAGGTAACGTTGTTGACTCTAATTACAGTGTGGATGAAATCAACGATCGTGGAGTAACCAGTATTCAAGCCAGAAAATGAATAGATGCCTGAGCCTTGGTATAACGCGAAGAAGATCGTTGCAAATTACAAGGGTAGTAGGGTAAAATAGAGCTACAGGTAAAAAACAAGTAAGCTTCGATATATATGTCATGTGTGTAACATCACATAAAATGTGAGAACAATTATATAAGTATGTCAACATTTACTGTTGATTATAGTTGTAGATATACTTACTTTACGCAAAACTCGAAAGTATGAACTCACTTAGGATGGGTATGGCTTAATTGTTTGTTTGTTTGTTTTGAACTTCGGGCAAAGCTACAAGAGCGCTATCTGCGCTAGCCGTTCCTAATTTAGCAGTGTCACCACCACCCACCAACATTATAACGTCCTCACGGCTGAAAGGGCGAGCATTTTTGGTGGACTGGGATTCGAACCCGCGACCCTCAGATTGCGAGTCGAGCGCCCTAACCACCTGGTCATGCCGGGCCGTATGGCTTAATGATTAGAGTGCTTGGAGTTTGAATCTAAGAATTCATATTCATGATCCCTTGCTATAAAAACGTCTCTTGCTCCACTCTTTTGGGCTCTGAATGTGCTACAAAAGAGGTGATAAAATTCAAGTGTTCTATCAGACAAGAGTAGCACAAGAGTTAGCGGTGAGTGTTATTGACTGGCTACCTTGCCTCAAGTCTATCAGTTTAACATTATTGATGGTTATGCACAAGTGTACTCTCGTGCAGATGCGCACAAAAATATAAAGGAAAAATGTATCGATGTAAAAATTTGAAGTTTCAGTGAATAATGGTTCAATATTAATCTTTCGTATATCCTTATATTACGATTTGTTCAAGTGCTCTCTGGCGCTTAGATATACAAGGTTATGTTTACTCTAATACTCTTTTTTATACTTAATGTTGATATTAACGGTTTTATTTGAGTTTTTTAAGTTAAAGTTCAATGTTAAAGTTCAAAATAAGTGCAATTGTAATGCAGTTTATTAGATTTTATTAACTTTCTGATATAAATCAAATTGTATATGCTTTACCATTATGATTTTGCTGGAGAAATTATTTATTTTGTTTATTTTTGTTGTTAAACACACAGCTGTATAATTGACTATCTACTGTCTTCCTATCGCGAATATCAAAATCCGATTTTTTTTCGTTATAAATCATTAAACTCACAGCTAAGCCACTGGGTAGCATAGTTATTTTAATTTATTATTTATCTATATTTAATCAATATATTATATTATATTCTGTCTTGTAAGATTATTGTTTTGTATGGCACGATTATCCTTTTTAGTTGTCCTAGCCATGACCCCAGGACTCATCACCTACATGGTAAAGTCCCAGTTCAAGATATATATTTAATTTCATACGTGATTGTTTGGCAGTCCCTAGCTAATGTTGGTGGATTGCTGACGTAGCAGACATTTAGTAAATAGAGATGTCACAAACACTGTTTTTCGTCTCTTTGAATGATAGAGCAGTTTTAGTCAAATTAATTGAGATTAGAGACTATTAAATTGAGTTCTAAATTAAGGCAGTTGAGTGATAAGTAACTCTTGTATTGGTCGATTTGTCTGTGTCTTGTAGCAAAAATGCAAAGTAGCCAGTGTATTTGTCCAACTAAAGATTATGTGCCATACTGTAGTGTCTTTATCTTTCACTGTTTTATATATGAAATAAAGTATTTTCTTTATAGTGTGAACATTGTGTTTGTACTTCTTTCTTGATGGAATTTTAATTAAGTTTTAGTACTAAACACCTCCAACCTAACCAAATGTTCGTTGAAGAGGCTTACTAGTCTTGTTCTTTATTCCTATTGAGAATACCACTAAATTAATATTATCACTGTTTACCAACATAATGTTAAAGAGGATCACGTTGGTTTTGTCAAAATACTCTTATGTAGAACCTGTTATTTATCGAACTACAGTTAAGAAGCAGCTCGTATTGTATCAGCCTTCTGGTAGAATGTAACGTATTGTTTGACTAATTACTTTATAATAAAACATGCAATACAAATCCACTTTTCTAGTAGCGTCCACTTTCATCTTCTCATAACTGAAAGATCTGATCATCTGGAGGAAGCAGAAACTTAAAATATGAAATTAGAGGAAAAGTTTAATGAGCGAAAATGTATTTCGACATTGATTTTCGCATATATATATATATATATATATATATATATGTATTTATTTAAAGGTAAGATAATAGTAAAGAAATTTAATTAAGTTGTAAAGCTGAGGTAGTATATGTAAACAAACATTGCGAGATTTACTTGAGTCATCACATACATCAGAACTTTATAAAAAATCCTCAAACGTGATATCAGAAGTTAATCGCCCAACTATTTGCGCACGTGCTAGTAACACGTTAGCTTGCTAGTTTGGAAAGTCGGTTCGATAGTTTAGAATATTGTACAGTTCTTATTAATTTATTCTTGAAAACCACAACAGGTAATTTATTATGTGTCTTACATCTTGTGTAAGAGTTCTTCTGTGTTTAATCGGAATACTAAACTTTATACCTTTAGTGGTCACAACTCCAGTGCTGTATTCTGAAGTAGAGGCATTGGTAAGAATGTATATTATGTCGGTTAATTTGTATACTTTGCATAGTGGTACGAAAACTATACAGTATTACTTATCTTGAAATGTATCTTTTACTATTCTCTTTATCACAATTTTACAATACAATATAACTTAGTTTGAAATTTTTTATAAAATGTATATTTTACTATTCTCTTTATCACCGTTTAAGGATTCTTAGGACTAAAAAAGTTTATAAAACTCACTTTATGCTCACATTTCTAATATTCCTATATTTGTGTAAAAGAACAAATTACTAAAGGATCCAACCATGCTAGAAAAAAGGAATTTATGTAACTTTTTCATATGTAAGAAATTGAATGGCAGAAATAAAAAGGTCCTTATAGGTTACAAGAGTGAACTTCTGAAAAATATCTAAATTTACTTTGAAGTAGTTTTCAAAAACAGCTGTTTAATTTGATAAGTTTTATATAAAAGCATGAAATAACGTATTTTTGCCCTTGTATCTCAATACGTTATTTAATCACCAGTTTATCACTGTGCTATAGAATTGATTTTTTTATGTAGAAACGTTTTCTTGATTTATAATGTTTACTAGTTGAAATATTTCTGTTTGGAACTTCAAGTTAATCATACTTTCTGTATCTAGTGTCGAAGTTTGTGATTAGATAATGTAGGAGAACTGGCGGTATTATTATTTTTTTTTATTGGGGTGGAAGAAATAAAAAAAGTGAAATTTGTCACCGAACGAAACCTGTACAGTTTAAAGAAATATGGAACTTGGCTGATTATTCGCAGTATAGTATATTGATTGTAGAAGTTAACGAATGATATCTACCACAGCCAATGGAACGGGCTTGGAAAAATCAGCGTGGAAAGAAATATCTTTATATATTGTAGTTTCATGGTTTTTACGTCTGAAATTATATTTACCGACTAGTGGTTCCCAACAGTATAGTTATGTGATTTTTACGTTTAAAACTAATTTTTACAACAAACAATGTGAAGACATGACCTTAAAGTCACAGTAAAAAATACAAACATTTTTATCAGTAATAAAAAAGACGTGAAAAACCTCGGAACTTCATAGTTCATTAACACATGTTTTAAAGTATTTTCTATAGTGCCAACTTACCTATGTTTATATTCAAAAGCTGACAAACTTGAACACTTAAACTTAGCTTTGTCGTTGACTTATATTAATGTATGATTTCACAGTAAACCACAGTTTTCTGAATCACTTAAATGTTGTAGTTTCTAAAACTGCAAAGCCAACTAGTGTAATATTCTGTAAACTCTAGATTATAACAACACTTAGAGTAATATACTTAGTGGGTTTCAACCATTACACCAAGTTAATAATGTAATCATCTTGAAGTGACAATAAGATGGGTTCCAGGATAGACAGAACATTAGATGGAGTAACTCTGTATAGCCATGGTGTAAAAAAAACAACAAAAACGAATACTTAAAAAACTAATTCAATGTTTTATGTTACATTTCGTTTCATTCATGTTTTGCCACAGATAAAATTTAAATTGTCGATGAATAGACTAAACACAAACGAAGATGAAGGATAAGTACCTCTCTTCCCTCTGAATCTGATCCGGACTTCGATTTTCATCTGTACAAACAATCTATATTAAACGACTAAACTATGCACAGGTATCTTATACATCCAAAAGAGACGAATAATCTTATATTGGCTAAGAGGCCCAAGAAGTCAGCAAAAGGAAGACATATTACACCATGATGATGAAAAATTTGATGGAATACGTAAGTCAATATAGACAAAAGTTTTGAAATGAAAGTTTATTTTTATAATAGTTATAATCATATAAACTACAAACTAAATTATATTTAACAGAATTACTTCACCGATGAATAGGAGGTACACGCTTGTGATGGCTGTGTACAGCAATAATAGATGTTACGCAAATATAGTAACTTTTACATTGTAATGTGTCTTGAAATATGCATCACGCAGAAGAAAAGATGATCTATCAACAAACAGTTTATTAGCACACAACAGAAATACTGGCTACATGATGTACTGGGTAACTAGTAATACTTTTCCAAAGTGTTAAACTTCGCATAACTATCAAATGCTGAACAAGGTCCCTAATTATTTATGGGGTAATTTTTCCTAAAGTACCTTTTAATTTACTGTTCTTCTGACATTTCTATCCTATTTGTCTATATCTGGATTTTTCTCCTCGGTTCTTTCCCATTGATCCTCTTGACTCGAGTAGAGTTACCTTTTTCCGTCATTCAAACAATTAATTTTAACTCATTATAAAAATAAGAGAACATTTGATAGACCCAATCTACTGATTGAATAACGCAACTATAAGATGTAAAATAGTTTTCGCATTTTTTAAATTGTTGTATGTTGAATGACTTCTTTTGTACAGCAGTAAGATGTATAAATTTCAAATTGAATCATTATGTTTTTGTTTTAAATGAATCTTACAAGTCGGTAATGTAAGATATATCTCGTATATAGATATATCTACTTGTTTATTCACTTTTAGTCACTATATGCAAATGTTTTTTTGTTGCACTTCGCTCAACCCTACTCCAGGGCTACCTGCACTAGCCGTTTCTAATTTAGAAGTAATAGACTAGAGGGAATGTAGTTAGTTAACATCACCCGCCGCCTACTTTGAGCTAACAACAAAAAGTGGGATTAAATGTCACATATTAACGCCTCCACGGCTGAAAACTATGGATCGAAACGTTCTAATTATTAAAATCAGAAATTACATATTGTAAAAGTTGCTGTTATTGATTTTTCAATTATTTATTCAGTTTAGTAGGTTCCTCATTAAACAATAAGTTTCCAGTGGAAGTTGTGTTACATTCACACTAACCTCTGATGATTTCAAATGTTTGACAAAATATTTTCAGTGAAATCTCTGAACATGTACGATATTGATATAATAGTAAATTTAATCGTTTGAAAGTTAGTTAAAAGTTGTTAAGAGGTGTCAGGGCAGACACATGGTGAAAAGGCTTTTCTTAGTTAAGTGGTACAAAATCTTTAGTCGATTTAAAAAACAACTGAAAGTTGAAAATGTATTATTCGTTATTTAGTATTTCAAAAGAGAAAATATAAAATCATGAAATCAAATAAATACTATTATAAAACTTAATGGTCTCCAAGAACCATTTACTCACAAGTATATACACTCGCCCATAGGACTTTATATTAAATTAGGGATATTAGGGCAATCGATTTAACGGTACTCTTGGAAACAGTCATTCATAAATAGCTCAAATTCGAATACTGAAAAGCAAAGAGTGAAAGAAGTTAAGGATAAGAGCCTGTGACCCTACTTTACTTCTTGTGAAAGATGTTAACGATGTGACAGTATCGTATTTCCTGGAAATTATATTAGCAATAAGAGCCTGTTACACTATTGTATTTCTTATGACAAATGCCAAGTATGAGAGCCTGTGACAATACAGTATTTCATGTGAAAGACGTTAACGATGGTAGCCTGTAACATTGGTGTACTTTCTGTTTTTGACCTCAACTAACGCTCTCATCAATGTAAACGTGACTTTTCCGGTTTACGTAAAATTGTGTTTAACAATTATTAGACCCAGAAGTCTAACTCCCATGGTCTAGTCTACAGTGTTTGTGATTATAAAATGTTTATTGTTTACATATCACGGTTTTGTAATTTTAACTGTAGCTTTATAATCACCGAATACATAACTATGATTTTTTGTTTTATAAAATTTCCTGGAATAGAGACATATGGCATATTAAAGTAGAGGAATACTTTAACACATAAAACTATATATATATATATATATATATATATATAAGTTTATAAAAACATGTTTTATATATCCCTGACAGAAATACCTCAAGCATTTTGGATATACGGATGAGGAAAGTTCCAAGTCTTCCTCAATGATGGATTATAATTCTGTGGTTAAAGACTTTCAGAAATTCGCAGGATTGCCTGAAACTGGTAAGGTGTATCAGTGACCTACTTAACAGAGCCAATTTTGAAATTAAATGACGTAAAACAGGGCTATAAGCAATACATGGTACTTATAAAGTGTTTGAATTGTCTTTTCCTCCCCACAAATAACCTTTAAAGTTTAAATAAGTTTTAAAGAATAATTAGCATTAATGCTAATACATTATGATTTCAAACTCTTCAGCAGATAAGGGCTGTTGTTGTTTTCTTAATGCAAAGCTACTGGGCTACCTTCACTGTGTCCACTGCGGGAATTCGAACCTCGGATGTTAGCGTTACAAGTCAGTAAATTTACTGCTGATCTACCAGGGACAGCAGATAAGATGTTTACCAAATTGTAATGTTTCAACCAATTTCTTGTTGTTATTTTGGTTTTCTAATTATTGTTTACTACAGCAGATGAAAAAGTTTAAATTAAAACAGTGTCAATACTAATCCATGTCGTAATTGTTTATCACTTAAAGCAATTTACTTGTCCATCACTAAATGATTCAATTAAAGTGAAGCTTCCCGTAAGGAAAAATAATAGCTTTCACGCACTTTGAAAACGTATAAAGCAAGATTACATCTTTTGTTATTAGTGAACGTAATTTCTAATTCTTGTGCTTTTTTTTTCAAGGTATAAAACTCTAGACTAAAAGTGCTCACCTATGACAAGGAGGCGGAACAAATAAAAAACAAGTAAATTTAAGCTAAAAATAACAAAAACGTCTATCAGTACAAAGTGGTATATGTTATATTAAGGGATAAAACAAGGTCTACTAGTTTTTAAGTAGATTTGAATACAAACCGAATAAATTGTTGAAAGCTGAAATTAATGTAAAGAACCAAAAAGGAAGTTATTTTTTTAATATCCAAAAATCTCTTTAGGGAGACTTACAAAAATATTAGTTTCAATTTATATAGCTAACAGTTTGGAGTTTTCTTATGCATTATTTTAAAATTGGGTTCTTGGTGTGAAAAATGTTTTCAACTCCGGACGCTAAAGACTTATCTTTAGCATGGAGACCGAAATGGAAATTCATTCATGCTGATTAAATTATATGAAACAGAAACAAGTCTTATTTTAGGAATATTTAAAGAGATAAAACATATAACTTGTAGATTCAAGTTTGATCGAAAGTGAATGAGATGTAATAATGAGGTGTTTTAATTTTTACTAATTTTTATATCGAAGTTTTTTAAGAATTTAGGTAACCTACGCTTTCTTTAAAAGCATGATTGTTTAATAAGCTTGCTTCCCACTGCTTATTTTAAATTTTATTTAGTTTAATAAGTTGCATTTACAAAAACTTTTGTAAGTGTAAGGCAATGTTTAAAAAAAGCTGTTTTGTCCACCATGACAGGAATACTGGACAATGATACAGTAAACATGATGATCATGCCCCGTTGTGGAATTTCAGACAGAGATGGTCCGAGCAACTCAGGCAGAAAGAAGAGGTATAGTTTGGAAGGTCAGTAAAACTTTATTATAGACTCTTTGATAGTTATTGAGCAACGCATTTTTTAAAAATACTTTAATCCTATTTTGTTTACACCCGCTTCAATAATAAACATATATGTCATTCAGCTATATATGTGATAAGTTGATTTTACGTCGTAGAGATTATAATCAAAATAATTATATATTTACTATAAATATGTAAAATAATACTTGAATTACATTATAATGTTGATATAAAACTAGAGTTTATTTTGAGTGGGATAGTGTTTATTGAAAAATTATTTATCTATTCATAGGCAGCTACAAAAGAAAGCAGGCAATATTCGCCTTAACCGCTCCTTGAAATAATTGATACTAAGATTTGACAATATTAGAAAATAATCTATATTTATAAGAAGAATACTATTTAAGGAAAGTAACATTTAATAAAAATTTAAATTATTATTACAGGAGTTGTGCAACTAACATTTTTAAGAAGCTTATATATTAAAATCCTATGTTCATTAACCAACGAAAATATTCCAAGTATACAGCACTGCAAATAAAACAATACTTTAATATTTAACTAATATATAAGCAAGAGATAGTTTAAAGCGTGTGGTAATGAAGGAAATAGTATCTGCCAGAATTAGTAATGGATTATTGAAGGGCAGTTAAAACTTAAGAAAAATTAAAGTAGTAAAAATGTCTCAGCTAGAATAAGTTCCACAGGCGATATGAATAATTGGTGAGTAAACTAGAGCAAAGTGAATAATATGATGTTTCACAAATACCCTACAGACTACACTCCTGTTATTTTTCCTCAGTTGTTTGCATAAAAGTTTTTCATCTGCGATTTGGAAGTTGATTGAAGAAACAGGATATCCCAATGCCTTTCAATTTTGTTTCCTCATTAAACTTTTTCTAAATGTATACCATTTGCATCTCTTGCCAAACTAATATATATTTTTGTTTTGAATACACTTGTGATTGATTGTATTATGTATTTTCATCACTGTTTTATTGGGGGTGATATTTCTTCCACTTGCAGTTGAGGCTGGTATTTTTATAGCTTGTTCAGTATTCGTGAAATTAGATTTTAGCCTATGTAAACGAGGTTGTTCCTACACACTCATATCTATATTACTAACATTATACTTTCAATGAAATGTCGATAAATATTTTATTTCTATAAGCCAGTAATTTGCCGGTGTGTAAATTCCTTATACCTGTCCGCATTTGAAATGTACGTGTTAGCTTTAACTAACCATTAGAAATGAACTAGGTGGTGATTCACGTTCCTCGGTGTGACCAGCTGTAGTGTTAGCCAAACATTAAACCACTGAATAATGTGAGGCTTGTATACATAAAGCAGGTGCTAACACTAAATAGCAACTCATCTGTACACTTTTCTTTTATTGTCACCAAACACTTGCCAACTGAAAAATAGAAATTATGTGCTACAAAAGTGAATTTCGTAGTCTTAAAATATCTTTACAAGTACTTTTAACACAAGATTCTACGTGTTATAATGTACGTTTTTAAATAGTTGATCCTCGATTCTGTTAGTCTATATAAGAGTAAATAATCAAATTTCATGAATCATGACATTTCATTGTGAAATATGATATTCTATATCATATCTGTATTGTGTCCACCCCAAGGATCGAACCTCAGTATTTACCGTAATAAGTCTTCAAGCCTACCGTTAAGCCAACAGGATTGACGGTTATTATAAAATTAAATATTAGCTATTTCAGTGTTCAAATTTAGATATTTTGCACACAGGGTGGGCGGCCCTCGGGATGGGTAACGTGTGCCTCCTCACAGGGCGTCCACCACAAGAAGCGCCGAAATCGACATTGTAATTAGCAGTTCTTGTCAATTCTACAGGGGCAGGGTCGCCGAATACAAAATTCGTAAATATCGCAATATGCGGCATAATCTACCTTGATATAGAAATATAGTAAAATCTGAAAATTTTCAGTGTTATTCTGTTGTTCTTGTGATACGCTAACAAGTAAATACCTACGTGGAATAATACTGTTATGTAAACTACAGAGTTTTATGGACGTTTATGTAAAAAAATGTTATTTAACACGAAATAATCATTAACTGAGATATATAAAAGCTCAGAAAGTATATTTTCTGAACATACCGGGGACTTTTAGTTTTTCTTTTTCTGATCAAGGTACCTATACTATGTTTTTATACTAAAGGAAATGTTTTAAACTTCTGTTTAACTTTAAATAACAAAAGAAATTACTCCCGTGTTTGTTTATAGACAACTCAGATCCTGCAAAGCAGATAATGAGTGAAATAATTTTTTCAATATCTTAAATGAATTATTAAGAAGTAACTATTTTCGTTAAGGGAACATTTAAAGTTTACAAGTAATCTTATCGATGCTAACATAAAGAGATCTACTAAACTTACATAATGAAGACATTTTAAGAGCCCAAGTTTGCAAAAAAATCATAGTTTCTTACACTTTGATTATTATTTTTTATCACATATGCATAAAATTTTGATAATGTGCTAAATAATATTTCAATTACTGTCACTACCACCCTAATAGTTGCCTTTGTTGATAACATGGGATACAAGATTTTTGCACATACATTTCATCTGCTTAAAAACGTTGTTAGTACTGTAATAGAAAAACAACCCTTGTTTTTATATTGTTTTATAGTTTGTTTCCGTGCGCATTTCAGGCAGCAAGTGGAATGAGAATACCTTGACTTATCGCATCACTAAATACCCTACTCTTATTAACAACTCTGAACAGGTTGACAAGGACATCGCAAGAGCTTTCAAGGTCAAGTGCAATATTTTGCTATTAATCCTATTATCATTGTTATATTTGATTTTTTTTATAAATAGCAAGTATGTTTTAAATACACTCAGGATATATGGCGGCTATGGACAAGGTATTTAATGTAAACCCACAGAGGAGGGGACATTAATATATCTTATTCTACTTTTTCGTCAAAGGACTACATAAATAATTCTTCAGACTTCTGACAATCGCAATAGAATAAAAACTAAACTGAAACAAATGTTTAACTTAGAGGTTAGTTAATTATTATTATTACCATTTTTCTCTGTCAGAAGACAAACGTGTTATTTTACCAAATGTTTCCCCCTAAAAAGGTAGAAATATCTAATTTAAGCAGTTAATGGTGTAAATAGTTTGATGACTCACCATTATATTTGTATGTCATTTACGTTTAGGTTTTATTATAAAATCAAACATAATTAAACTATTGAAAGTATTAAACATAACTGTAATATTTCTCCCAATATAGATGAACTACATTTCAAAATTCAACTTAATCAAGAGCCTTATAATGAATTAAATCGCAAACAGAAACATCATGGTTTTCACAAGACATTATTTTGTGTTTCCATAGGTTTGGAGTGATGTCACACCTCTAAATTTCATACATACAAAAACTGGGGATGTTCATATCACGATAATGTTCGAATCAAGAGAACATGGCGACGGTGACCCTTTTGATGGTGTTGGGCAAACTCTGGCTCATGCTTTTTTTCCACAGCATGGTGGAGATGTACACTTTGATGATGATGAAAAATGGACAATTGACAGTTACAATGGTAAACATTCACATTTTTAAAACTGGTTTATATTTATTTCTTATAATTAATTGTAATCATCATGGTTTATATAAATAAAAATAAGTTAATTACTTTTTGTCAATTTTGATAAACTGTATAGTTTATGCAAAATAAATGTATCATAGTTTCATGCAAACAGAAGATCGACAACCATTTGTTTAACTTTGCGCGAGAATTCTGAAATAATTTATTTAGGTTGTTACATCTGTGCTCTGATTTTCAGAAAATCACTTGTTTTGAAATATCGATATATTACGATTATTCAGAAGACAAAGGCCATATGTAATGTATGCCAAACTAACTGCAAATTGTGATATTGAAAAATAAATTCAAATATTATTTTACAGGAATAAATATCTTTCAAGTTGCTGTACACGAATTTGGGCATTCATTAGGACTACGTCATTCAAGTGTTACCACAGCACTGATGTCACCTTTCTATCGAGGTTACGACCCGGATTACAAGCTTGACGAAGACGATATATTAGCAATTCAAGCACTATATAGTGAGCCAAGCCTTTGAAATATTAATACACCTTAAAACGGCGACATGTATAAAATGTCACTCTTGTTTACCATATAAAGTGTGTAGTTTACATCTAGAACATAAAACGTTTTACAGGTTTAAGATAAACCAATATGGTTTGTATCCACCTCGATAACTATATAGCTTTATTTGAAACGTTGAATAAAAATCTCAACAACAGTCAGATCTATACCAATGCATAATAGGTTTTATGATAATATTAATAGCGAATAATTTCTAAAATATATGTTCTTTCTATCGTTTTATAGACGACAATATACAAATATATTACTAAAAGTTATCTCACTTTAACACTTTAGTTTTTTAACAATTCTATTTGTTTATTATTATAAAACTTTTATAGTGATTCAAAAATATGTTTATTGCGTTTAATTGTGTCGGAGATAACATTGTCACAATTGAAACGTTAAAATAAAGTAAAAGACTCCAATTTCATGCATTTATTAATTATCTAAATGTATTTCATGAGATCTTTCTATTGTTATTTATCTATAGATTTTATTTGCCGCAACTATCATTTAAGTTCATTGTTAGGGATAAATATGTTGTTCAGATAAGTACAATGTTTAGGACTTGCAATGCTTTCAAATATTATACGACCTCACGTATTTTAACAGGTACCCATCGGACTAATCCACCTGACATTAGCGAAGCTCCACAACCTACGACCAGCAATGCTCCACAACTTGACACCACATATGTTCCAGAACCTGACAGTAGCAATGCTTCACAACCTGGTACTAGCGATGCTCTGCAACCTGACACTGGCGACGCTCCAGACCTCTGTCAGGACTCTTCCATAGATGCCATAACAAGGACAGAGGATGGAAAGACATATGTTTTTAAAGGTTTGCATATTTTCTCAAGTAAAAAATCTTAATTAAATGAAATCTGAGGTCAAATAAATAATTGTATTTTTTTCAAATATGAGAAGCACTTTAATTTCACAGAAATAATAAATTAGCATTCAACAACAATAAAAAACACAACAATATAATATGATAGAATGTAACGTTGATCAAAATTTCTTATCGACAGATAATTTCAACTGAAAGAATTTCTAAACACAATATGAGCTTACATATCTTGAGCATATGAGCAAATAATTGGTTTTCTATCGAACGTTTTGAGAGTTTGTACACATTTCTTTTTAACCTGGAATTACTGCTGAGCCTTATATCATCGGCTTTTTAAACGTAGTTTCTTAATCTATTTGATTATTTGTCAACCACATTATTTGTGGGTCCATGACTCTGTTGGCTACTGGGTCCCTATAAACAGACCCCAGTGGCACAGCGATACATCTGTGGACTTACAACGCTAGAAACTGGGTTTCGATACCTATAGTGGGAAGAGCACAGACAGCCCTTTGTGTAGTTTGTGCCTAAAAATACATGAGTCAAAAAATATAAGCATAATTATTATTAACAATGTAATGAGTCCCAATAACTGCTGCTAAAAGTGAGTGATTGCACCCAGTTGTTTTTGGTAAGTCCTTTTAAATTAGTTTTCTAACAAGGAAAATATAAAACCACTAACTATGTGATGCAATATGTACTAATGTTATTGTATCATATTGTCATCTTTCACATGTATAAAGCTCTCGTACTTTTAGTGAAAAGTGTATTCCAGTTTTAGCATTTTTCTGAATCTGTTCTCTAAGAACTATGCAGTGAATAAAATGAGTTCCAAACTAAAAGTATGGTAACTAAAAATATTGACAACTCTGAAAATGAATATGAGTTTAGCAGTGATGAATATATGACATCAAGTTGTGAAATTAAAGAGGAAATTTCTCTGCTGATAAAAATTATAGTGATACAAGCTCATGTGAAACTTTCGGCTGATAATGAAAGTAATGATGACACTGAAGAAGATCTGAAAATGTATTCATCAAAAACTGAAGAAGTAAAGTGGTTTACAACATCAAAACAGCTAACAACTAAGACTAAGAGAAGACCACATGCAAATGTTTGCAAAGAAACACAACACCCAACTAGAAATGTAAGAACAAATACTGACACTGTGTTATCTATATGCAATTTGTTCACAAAGAAGAACATTATGAAGAAAACACTGGAATGAAAAAACAACAAAGAAGAAGTCGTATTAAAATAAAAATAGAAACATTTGGATTCTATCGCATTGATATGTTTCTTCGATATGTTGCTGCTAGTAGGTGTTTGTAAAGAAACAAACAAAGCAACTGAACAGCTGTAGAATCAGAACAATGAATAGTATATAAATATTTGTACAAGCAGTGGCACGTAACACATTTCTTCAAATTTCACGATACTTTCGATCTGATGATGCTGAATAATGAACAAAATAGTAAATGCACCGCCAGAAAATGTGACAAATGATGAGCAACTAGCTCCATTCCATGGCAGATAAACTCAAATAAAGGTGAAAATATGACATCAGAATTTGGGCTTTTCATGAAGTGACATAATCCACGTTTATAATATAAAACTGTATGTAGGAAGAGAAAAAGTGCGCCCGAAAGAACAAAATTCAGGCGAGAGAGTTGTATTAGACAAAATCCAAAGATTCTGAAACAGTGGACGTTATGCAACTTGTGATAATTTTATTTACATTGTTGAATTTGCCCAAGTATTGGACATACAATAAACAATACTTGGTACAATAGCACAAAATAGTTATCTGTTGTGTCCACCTCGGGAATCAAATCCCGAATTTTAGCATTGTAAGTCCCTAAACTTACCGCTGTTTTATCAGGGGGCGCAAAAAATAGAATTCAATTGTCACATGAAACAGTCTGTGTAAAAGAATGCGATGAATTCTAACTAAATTTATTTTCAGTGAACTTGCTGTATTTATTTTATATATTCCGAAGAAGAGACCATTAGTTGTGCTGTTAAGTACTATGTATGACTTATTATTATTTAAAGACAGCTTTGCTCTCTAAATACAAAGAAGTTTTATTCCAGTGCTCTGCTTTGACGATCACTGTAAATAATTAGATGATTGATAACCCAGAAACTGAATATAAAGCAGCAGCGAAAACACCAATGACGATCCAAGATTATTCTAGTAACAAAGGTGTAGAGGACCAACTGCTAAAGGAATCACTCAACCAAAAGGAAAACGAACAGATAGATGCCCAGTTGCTGATGCTAGGAAACAAAGAATAGCTCAATAAAACAAAAAGCGTAAAAGTGACAAAAGATTTTGGTTTTTTTTTTAGTTAAGCACAAAGCTACACAATGGGCTATCTGTGCTATGCCCACCACGGGTATCGAAACCCGATTTCTAGCGTTGTAAGTCCACAAGACATACCGCTGTGCCACTGGGGGCAAGTTATTGTGAAATATAATTCCAAGATACGTTAGATGACAGTTGTAATGGTTGAATACGGTTTGTTGTTTAATGATACGTTTGTTTCAGTTGTCATATTTACTATTCTCGTTTTTAGTGATATTTTAAAGCTTTACAATGCTACATGGTATTGTATAGTAAAACCAAATTTGAATATACAAGAGTAAAATTAATTAGAAAGTTTAAATAGTAAAATTTCTCACGAACTTAGCGATAAAAAAATTTAATGAAAATCATCCTGTGAATAGTTTTTAATAATACTCCAAATCATAAATCAATTTAGCTATCTAGCTATCTCCTTTGTAAACTGGTTTTAATTGGTTGGTTTCCAACGTGCCATTTTATTTTATATTTCAAGTTTATCCAATGGATTATTTAAAATTTGAAGAGCATGTTAATTAAAATTACATAGAAAATAATTTAATATACTCTATCAGAGGTAATTGATATCTTGAATAACGTGTTAATATTTATAATATTATTTAAACACTGACTGCATTATATTGTTTTACTATTCTTGTTTTTCTGTAGGAATTGTAATTGATATGCATACTTTTATACACTGTTATTATTAAAACTTACGACATAAGTTTGCATATATATATATATATATATATATTCCTATAAAAAAATCATAGAATTAATTGAAAAAATTCCACGACTACAAAGTTGGTAATGGAGGCAGATTACGATATCACAAACAGAAAGACAGAAACAAAAAATATAACCACATTAAAACAGAGACAAATCACGTTACCATACAGAAAGAGGCAGACAATGTCATTACAAAGAATATATCGTTTCACAGAATGACATTACAAAGAAACAGAGACAAATAGGATTGTTACACAGAATGACATTGCAAAGAAACAGAGACAAATAGTATCGTTACACAGAATGACATTACAAAGAAACAGAGCCAAATAGTATCGTTAAACAGAATGACATTACAAAGAAACAGAGACAAATAGTATCGTTATACAGAATGATATTACAAAGAAACAGAGACAAATAGTATCGTTACACAGAATAAGAGGTAAACAATTACCATGACAAAGAGACAAACTATTCCCCCACACTGATACAAAGTTAAACTATATTTGTATAGAGACAGAAATAAACTACGACTTTTGGTAGGCAGGTTACATAAGACAATATTTACCTTTAAATGGTGTACGGCCTGAATTTGTATTTTTTCTCAACACAGGTGACTTTTACTGGTACATCAACGTCACTGGGGTTGTAGATGGTTATCCACGCCGAATTTCCGATGACTGGGATGGGTTGCCTGGAAATTTGGATGCTGCATTGACATGGTCTGACGGAAACACTTTTTTTTTTAAGGTAGGTGAGATCTGAGATCAAATGAAAAGCCAATTCACAGTTACACAGTAATATGTAAGCAGATAAATGTTGAATATAATTTAGATTATATTTTTCATTTTTTTGGTGTCGAAATAATTAAAAAAAACAAAGAGATGATAAATATATAAACACTTCAAGAAAATTAACAAATGTTTCAAATTAAAGTTTCTTTGAATCTGAACAAACACTACATACAATAAATTATTAAATATGTAAAATGGTTTTCATCAAGCATCACATTTTAGTGTGCAGTACAAATAAGATTTGAAGAAAAAAAGATCTTGCAATTACCATTTTTAACTAGTAGTTTGTTCACACAAGATAGTTTTTAGAGACCAGCATATAGTGTTGTTTTTTTTTATTTGGGTAGTGGGATTGCAACACTGATGTATGTGAAGTTGACAATAAGCGTATTTAAGTTTTACAACGCTCCTCAAATATGTTCTGTAATACATACATGTTTTCATATATAATAGTGGCTATAATGTATGTTATCTGTATCTTATAGATCTTCAGCAGTAATAATATATTAGCTTTCTACAATTTTAATTGTAACACCCTTCTATATTATTTTTAAATTCGCAGTCCAAAGTTTGCTCATTTTAGAAAAACAGATAAATTTCCAAGATCATTTAGTAGAAACTAATGTGCGCTATATGTATGATGATTTTAGTTGTCTTTTACTCACCACACTTAGCCTCTATTTATATAGGATTTGAAGAATATATAGCACTGATACTAATATATTCTACAAAATTATTTAACAGACAAGGTGTTTAAAACACTCAAAATACATATAGAGTGAAATATGGTGAAAAAGCTGAATAAGGGAGTTAAATGCACGATGACAATGAAAATTGTTTCACTGTGGAGGTAAATGTAAATAAAAGGTAGTTTGTGCAAGATAATCAGGTGAATTCAGTTACGCTAGTTTTTGTTGTGTGTGTGTGTGTGTGTGACAAGAGGGTTTTTTTGATAGATTGTTTAGGCAGAGTACATATGATTAGGAAACTTGAATGGGCGACAACTGCCTGTTGTAGAAAACACAAATGTTGAGGACGACGTTTCCAAACTCTCCTGTCGTCACGGATGGTCATAAATATAAGATTTTTCTTCGCTCCACTCGGGACTAAGTTTACTTTTCAATGTGTTATACTTATTCATTTAAATCTAACAGGAATTTAGTTTGAAGGAAGACAACGCAATAAGAAGAATTTCGGGCTCTTCCCAACTGGGGTGTTTAGGAACAATCGTTCCCCTTCGCCTCGCCCGTGTGTTTAATTTTGGACTAGAACGGAACCTTATTTCGAATTCAGTGGGAGTGTGTTTTAATTGAATTAGCTGGATTGTTGAAAGGATAGCCGTGAATTAGGTTAGTGAGGGCCTGTAGTTCTTCATTTCGAGATGTCTTTTCAGTTGACAGGATTATGCGACCGAAGCAAATTAGTTCAACGAGTATTCTTTGGGATGATTTAATTAGTTTGATTTATTATATTAACCCAGGTAATTTTTTGAGAGATTGAAGAGAAGTGTGTGTCGAATCGAATCTTGACAGGAATTTCGGTTTGTGAACTTCTCCAGGAAGGAGAAGACAACCAGGGATGATCATAAAATTTCAGCCTCTCTTCATCCCGCTAGCGAAGGGCTAATTAGTGGTGCAGATGGGCGTGCACGAAAGTATGGAGAAATGATGATAAGTTATTGGATGTTGATAGTGGTCTTTCGAGCTGGAAAGTTGCGAAAGAGATGAGCAGGTGAAGATCGCTGGACGGACCAAGAGACAAGAAGGCAATCAAGTCCTGGTGAGAAAAACAAAAACAAAAATCCGATAATAATAATAGTTTCATACTCAAATTTTGTCCACGAGAAATAATAGAATGCTTTGTTTGCTGCTAACAAAACATTATGAGTGTATGTATATACACATTTAATTTTTCTTGTCTTCCAAAATTTGATTCTTGTTTTATTCCAGTTTATTTTGTGTTCAGTTGACATGGTGTGTTCTGCAATGGCTGAATTTTGTTTTTTTTCTGAGTCTTGTGCTGTCTTTGTGTTTTTTATTCTTGTCCTGAGTTGTCTTCCTGTTTCTCCAATGTGTGTTTTGTTGCAGGAATATGGAATTTCGTAGATTATGTTTCTGTTTAGTTTTCACTGGAATAGATCCTATTGTCTTGTAACATTTCCACCGTGGTGTCTATGATGAACGTTTTGGCTATGCGTTTAAGTTTTTCACTGAAATTTTGCATGTAGGGGAGGTAAATAGTTATAGTGCTCTTCTTATCTTTTCTTTCTCTTGTGGTTTTCTTCAGGGAGTTCTTGATGAAGGTAAAGATGTAACTCTCCTGTTTATAACACTATGATCTTATGGCATTCTGTTTTAATGTGTCTCATCACAAATGTTTTCTGCTCTCCTGTTCAGACATTGGATTATACCACGTTTTACCAAGGTAGTGTGATAGGATTAGAAATGTAGGTATCTGTCAGCGTAGGTGGGTTTTCTGTATACAGTTGTGATGATTTGTCTTCTTCCTCCTTGCCTGCTGATGACTACGCCAAGAAACAGCAGGTTGTTTTGTTTCTCTATTTCCATTACACTGCACTCATAAAGAGGGGTGTTCATGTGATTGGCTGGGAGAGTGTGAACTAAGCAGTACAGGTAGTAAATCACTTGTAGAATTTATAATGGCAAGGTTATTTTTGTAATGGTGAACAACAGACATATAGGAAACGTATTGTTAATTATTCATAAACCAAATTACTGAACTTTAAAGTCTATTATTTATTACAGAATTTTACAAAATTAATACGGAAATAAATTACACTTCTGTATCTTTGTTTTGATTTTCCTGCAAAATACTTGATACATTAATTGACAGTGTTTTACCTAAATTGTTTGATATAGCTATTGATTTATATTTTTTTTTATAAGCGAGCTATTATTACTGCAAATATACACAGAAGATGCTCCACAAAATCGCACAGAATTTCTAAATTTCCTCGTAGATATCTATTTAACATTTTCGCAGCTTTTCGCATATTTCACACGAATTTTGGCTGTCAAAAGGTTCTGTAACGCATAGCAAAGTAAATAAACACATAGGTGTTCCCGTTAAACCTATTACGCGCGCATATCTTTCTGAGCGCTTGTATGTCACAGAAGAGAATGAAGGGCGGCCTCCATAATCCGCTACTATATAAATAGTATATATACTATATATATAAAATTCCCCATATCTAACCAACAAATTTATCATATTTGTGTGTGTTCCACTTTAGACTTATGAGTGATTGATATTGGTATTAATTTATTTCACAAGTCTTACAAAATGTAAGATATATATCTTGAATAAGACATTTTGAGATAGCCATCGCCAGTTCTCACATTAGCATGCGGAACATTATGTTATTATTATATAATTAAAATACAATAATTTGTTTATCCATAAACAGTCAATATTCCGTGCGACCATTAATTGCGTTACTTAAATATTTCTTTCTTTTAATAAGCATAAGCTGACGCAAAATTTATTTAATAGGTAAAATTAATTAAATGAACAACACTTTAAATATTTATTCTGTTTAAATGTGTATTGTTAGAATGATCGATTATATTTTACTTTTCTACAAAACCATGACAATTAAACTGCAATTTTTGCAAACCAAACGAAATTTCAGACAAGCATAGAAAATACTTTTAATTATTTTCTGACAATATTTTATTGTTTGTAGTTATGCACAAAGCTACACAATGGGCTTCTGTGCTTTGCCCACCACGAGTATCGAAACCCAGTTTCTAGCGTTGTAAGTCCGCAGACATACCGCTGTGCCACTGGGGTGATTCTGAAAATATCTCATACAAATTTACACATTTTCAGTCGTATTGGGACGATGAGTCACTCGTTTTTTTAAATCATTTAACATTGAAATCGTTCAGTTTTTGCGAAGACAATACACTCAAGCCAAATATTTGTAATTGTATGTTACAAGAGCATTCTTATAAAAATATAGGTTTTTTATATTGTTTTTTTGAGAGCAAAGCCACATTGGGCTCTTTGCTGTGTTCCCCGTGGGGAATCTAACCGCGGATTTTTGCGTTGTAAGTCTGTGGACTTACAGTTTGAATAAATATATAAGTACATACATACTAACATCATATGAACTTTAGGAGAGTTGTGTTACTTTGTGCTTAACTTGAAACTAACAAACATTAAGATGATTTAATAAAGCAACATAAGTACTTGTACGATATTATAAAACGATAGTGCCCCCAAGTGGCACAGTTAAACAAAGTAATATGGGCACCTATACCAGAAAGATTGATCACCAGAAGGGACCTTCTGGTATATTAATATCGATTATATTATCTAAAAAACAAGTTTGAATTTGTTTATCAACTTTTAAAACTTTCCAGGACCACAGATACTGGTGTTTTTGGAATAAGAAAATGGCTTCTGGCTATCCAAAAGAAATCAGCTTAGGGTTTCAAGGAATACCGAACAATGTTGATGCAGCATTCATCTGGAGTGGTAACGGAAAGACCTACTTTTTCCAAGGTAAGATACATGTAATTGCTGATTGTTTATATGTTTGTCAGGTTTATCTTTTATTGAATATGTCGCATATAGCGTTATTGTGACAGTAACGACATTTTTGTTTTATGTAGTAAGTTTACTAGGGAAAAGAACTATCTTACCAAGAAACTAATTATTGAAGATTAATATTCAACATTTACTGGACAAAAACAGTGATTTGGTGTCATATATTAGAATTTCAAATGGCCTGAAATTGAGTTAACTGATAAATTCAAATTTAGTAGTTAAATTGTACTTTAGATTTAGCAGTTAAGTAAAAGCCGATATATAGTCAGTTTATGATATTTGCCAACAAGATTGATACACACAACTTTCTTTTTTAACACAAATACGTTTTACTATATGCACAACAATACAATTCACAATAACAGTTATTACAAATAGTTATTACATACAATGATTTGTAAACAAAAATTTCACAAACTTACAAGCAATATAAAGTCTTCTTTCTAGTTTGTAACTTCCTTGATATCTTATCGAGGGTTTACAATGAGCGAGTTAATTACGAGTTGATGTAGGTACGATTCGCCGGGAAGCTAGCTAGCTTTGTCCTTTGTCACACACGCTGAGTTTTCCGCCGTTGAAGTTAGGTAATGTTTTCGTAAAAATACTAATGTCCGATGAGAATCCACTGAAGTTGAATGAGTTGTGATGTTCGAACTTTATAAATGCTCCTGGTCAAATATTTGAAGTTTTCCGATTGGTAAGCGTTATAACAATCACAGTTATAGCTTTCGAAATTTATAGCACACTGACTATAATGAACTAATAATAGATACTCTTTTTTGGCGCGTCGCGTTGGTTATATTTATAGCCGGTGGAAGGTATTCTAAAAAATTCAGATTACGTAACGATACTGAACTACATTTAAGCATTTA